CCCAATAAATAAGAAGTGTAGCATCACTGAATATAACCGGGGTTTGTGACATTAATGAATGGTGAAGGAATCGGATCAGAAAAAAGAAAAATTTATATCAATATAATTCGTTATTTAGTTCCTCAAACATAAGGTGAGCTGCTGATTCTATTCTTGAAATTACTCAACATTATACTTCCAAAATTTTAAACCATAAATAAGTTGAAAAGATGAAGAAAAATGTTGTGATTTCTATTGATATTGTTGAATTGTGAACTACAACTTGTTTTTATACTGTGAAAGATCAAGGTTGCAAATTCCTTTGCAAGAAAAGTATTTCAAGATTCATTATCTAAGATCTAGAAACTCTTTTTGATCAGATTGAGAATTTATGAGAAAACATTGGTTTTCAAATTAAAATTTTATACAATATGGCAAATGTTAATGACAATATTATTGTAAAATTAAAGCAAAATAAGTGCTAGTTTGGATTGACTTGTTTTAAGTGCTTTTAAGCAAAATAACTTTTTAAGTAGTTTCGAAGTGTTTGAATAAAGTTAAAAGTGTTTATAAACATTTGTTTTTAAGCCAAAATAACAAAAATAATCCAAAAGCCATAAGCTAGAACTTCTAACTTATGATTTTTGAATTATAAGGCATAAGCCAAAAGTAGATCCAAACATGCTCTAAGACAAGAAATATAGAAGATGAAAGTAGTAGAAATAAGAACACAAGAGGTGAGAGCTTTTCTTATTAGTCCAAGTTTTCAAGTTATCCAACATAAGCACTTATGCCTCGATTTATAGTGTAAAAGAGAGGCATACAAAGGTTAGTCATAAATATGACATTAACATGAATATAATGGATGAGGTTATGGAAGTGAAATGTTACAAGAATAATGACTGATATAAAGTTGGAGATTATGGAGGTTATGATTATCTTCATAATGGAGGAAAGTAAAGAAGATAATGGGTGAGAGTAACTTTTTGGTGGAGTAGACATCCATAGTGTAATATATGTAACACTTCCCCCTTGGATGTCCATAGATAATATGCCTCATTAAAATCTTACTAGGAAAAAATCGGTGGAAAAAAATTCTAGTGAAGGAAATAGAGTACACAAATCTTATATGCTTTTTGAATGTTGTCTCGTTAAAAACCTTGCCAGAAAAACTCAATTGGGATAAAATCATGGTTCAGAAAAAGAGTACAACACGTATTTTTCTCCCTTGATAAAAATTTTATTTGATATATCGAAGACGATGCATTAGAGTCTTACATTACAACTTCTCAAATTATGATGTTGACAATCCTTAGAGAATAAGTTGACAAGATTATCACTAGAATTAGTCTTTGCTATCTCGCCATTTTATTGACGTGTTAAAAAGAGTTTTATCGAAATATGCTTTGTCCGATCTTCTTTGATTGTATCCTCCCTTCAACTGAGCTATATATTATTTTTCTATATGGTGGCTGAAATATCCTTTATAAAAGAAAATCATATATTTTCTGAATATGGTAGATCATGATTCCAAATCAAACATATTTCCGACTTAATTCATATATTAATATTATTTCTACATGATTTAAAGAAGTGATTACTAATGTGATTCTTTGAATTTCAAAGTTATTGATGTTTCTCCATATGTAAATAAATAGTCCACTTGCGATCGGTCTTTATGCGGATCGAATAAATATTTTGTATCTCCACAATTAAATTATTTCTGACTTGGGGATTGATCATTTTAATTGTATTGAAGCTCGTTTTTTCTTCTTGAAAATTACACATCTTCTATGTGTTGAGTCACTTGCTTTGTTAATTTCTTGTCATAACTTAAATGATAATATGATAGTACTTTTACATAACTTTTGTTATATATATATATATATATATATATATATATATATATATATAATA